TTTCATATGTTTCATATGTTTCATATGTTTCATATGTTTGTTGTTGTTTGATTTATCATCTACGGGTTTATATCGAATTAATTTGATGGCCTGCTCCCAGTTGGCTTGTTAGCTCAATTGGTAGAGCGCTGCACTAGTATCGCAGAGGTCAGTGGTTCGAATCCCGTACAGGCCTGAAATTTTTTTCAGGTCTGATTTTCACTATTGCTCAAATAGTGCTTTACTGCGAAGGATCGTTCTCATATACGTCTCATAACCGCAGTTCACACATATGTTTCATATGTTTGTTGTTGTTTGATTTATCATCTACGGGTTTATATCGAATTAATTTGATGGCCTGCTCCCAGTTGGCTTGTTAGCTCAATTGGTAGAGCGCTGCACTAGTATCGCAGAGGTCAGTGGTTCGAATCCCGTACAGGCCTGAAATTTTTTTCAGGTCTGATTTTCACTATTGCTCAAATAGTGCTTTACTGCGAAGGATCGTTCTCATATACGTCTCATAACCGCAGTTCACACATATGTTTCATATGTTTGTTGTTGTTTGATTTATCATCTACGGGTTTATATCGAATTAATTTGATGGCCTGCTCCCAGTTGGCTTGTTAGCTCAATTGGTAGAGCGCTGCACTAGTATCGCAGAGGTCAGTGGTTCGAATCCCGTACAGGCCTGAAATTTTTTTCAGGTCTGATTTTCACTATTGCTCAAATAGTGCTTTACTGCGAAGGATCGTTCTCATATACGTCTCATAACCGCAGTTCACACATATGTTTCATATGTTTGTTGTTGTTTGATTTATCATCTACGGGTTTATATCGAATTAATTTGATGGCCTGCTCCCAGTTGGCTTGTTAGCTCAATTGGTAGAGCGCTGCACTAGTATCGCAGAGGTCAGTGGTTCGAATCCCGTACAGGCCTGAAATTTTTTTCAGGTCTGATTTTCACTATTGCTCAAATAGTGCTTTACTGCGAAGGATCGTTCTCATATACGTCTCATAACCGCAGTTCACACATATGTTTCATATGTTTGTTGTTGTTAGAAATGCTTGTATGAACAAGAAAATAGTTAGGTAACCCCCAAAACGAACCATTAGATGATACGAATAAAGGGGCTAAGTTTCTGAAGAAACTGTGGTGCTGTGTCAGTGGGGGTAACAAGGTAATTTGGTAATATCAACTAAGTTGAAATTGTAAATTGGCCACTGTAAAGAGTTAAAAAGCTGACATTTCGAGCTTTAGCCCTTCGTCATTCACTCTAACTAATATGTTAGTTGATATTACCAAAGTACATTAGATGATATGAATTGGGAGCTAATAAGGATGTGAGCACCTTAGCAAAATTCATCTATCATTGCTCTTATGATATAGGGTGATGATGATGAAACATTTGCATGATCATTTTTTTTTTTTTTTTGACAATTTGCAACTTCAACTTATGAGTAAAAGCCATGTTTGACCTTTGCCCAAATGCCTGTAAGTAGTTGAAGCCTGCTTACAAGCCAAGTGGCCCATCAAGCTGGCACTCAACTCTGGTTTCCATAACATGTTTACTCACTGTCCCTGCTCTTTAAAATAGTCACCTGATCTGCAATTCCCTTTACATAATAAAAAAAAAATTACTGGAAATATTACTCAGTGTAAGTAACGTATTTTGAGACCAGTTTCTTGAAAGTCCCACTAACTTAACAGGCCTGAAAAGCTGTTCTGTTTGCATTCAAGATGGGGATTTCAAAAGTTTTGAAAATGATACAATAAAACTATCAGCTAAAAAAAACGAAAGGACTGGTTTGGGTGCCAGAGCCAGCTTTCCTATCCTTTAAATTTTGATTTTAAAACATGGCTTTGGGTCTGTCAAGTTACCGGGACTTTTGAGAAATGGGCCTTTGGAAATACCCAGTACCTACAAGTTGAATACCTATCTCGTTTGAAATACAGTAGAACCCTGTAAATCTTAGAACCAAAAAAGAAAACCTAAGACCATAAAGTTAGGAAAATTCATGAACAATGTGTAGCTCTTATGTACCAATCAATTTGGAGCTTCAACATCCCAGAACCAGAAGTTTAGCCTTTCCAGCAGAATACAATCTTTAACTATAGACATATTAAATGATAATGGTTCACTTTTGCAAGCAAATGGATCAAAGGAAAAGGTCTAAAAGGTCTAGGTTTTAAGCTTCCCAATGAGTAGAAACTAATGGTCCCAGATTTTACCTTTTACAAAAAAAATTGACCATCAAATCTGGCACATGAAAACAATGTTTGCCTGGGGGGCATGAATACAACCTTCAAAAGTTCAAGTGCTTGGGAGAAGGATGTTGAAGCGGCAAATTGATTTACACATATTTTGGATCAAGATACCAATTTCAATAACTGAGGGTCTCCTGTGTGCATAAGCAAATTGTCTGGTACCATTAAAGGCTGTATATTAATGTTTTAAATGAGAAAGGAGTATTTCATACAATTGATCTGCAAGATGTCCTTGTTCACTACTAAGGAACAGTTCTTTGAATATATACATATGATTTGGCAAATTGGATGGGTTGATGGTCAGAAGGTATGTAAGGCAAAGCAAACACAACTGTGGAGAATTACATTGATAACCATAATTGTACACCTGCAGCACAGTGGAAGCATTAATTAAATTAACCAGGAATTTCTCACAAAGGGTTCTCAGTTTGTCCAAAAAAAACCTGTCAGCAAGTGTTAACAGCTCTAAAAAGAACTGTAGTTCATCGTGATTCATTTGAATTTCCATAACTTTTCTTTTTAACACGTCACAGCATGACTGAGATGAAATCATTTCACTAGAGATCTGTTCATTTGGAATTATCTTGCATCCATACATATGATGTAATGCAAATCCAAAGACATCCACAGAAATGTCTTGAAGAGAGATGTCAGACTGTGTTGATTCTAAGAAACTGTCTGAAAACATGGCAGCAAAGAAATCAGAGGCTGACATCATAAGTTGTTTGTGTGCCACAACTTTATCCCCGTTGTCCATTACAAATGTAGCATCGGGAAGACCAAGGGAATTTGCATGGTACAGGCATGACAAACAATCTTTCTCATCATTTGAGGATGAAGCCTGGATGTTGCTGAAATCCTTTTTCAGCTTTTTCCTTTGGTGCAGATCATCAGAAGCCTCTAGGTTTGTTTCTTCATTGGTTGATGAAGTCAGATCTTTAGAAATACCTTCACCTTCCTTCCTTGTAACATTCGAGGGGAACTTTAGCTGTAACTCATTCGCCAAAACTATCAAAGACTCCACAACAGTTGGAAAGGTTTTACCAGTTGGAGAGAGTGATTTGAAAATATCACACAGCATCCTTAAGCCCTTCCTATCAACAAGCATTTGTTGTCTCAGTTTAGTGGTCCTAGAAAATATGAAAATAAACATTTTTAGCATTTTTTTGGTCCCTGAAAGATCCTGTGATGGTTCATGTACTTGATGTAATGCCATTGGACACAAAAATGCAGTAAACACAAACTGTAAAAAGCCTTCTTTTGGGTATACAAGTCTTTCAAACAATAAACTAGGTATTTGAAAACTAGGCATGGTGAGCACATTTGCCCTTTACTGGTTTTAACATGGTACAAATAGGCCATGCTGAAGAAAAGGGTGGGGAAGAGGCAAAATGCCCAGTGGGACATATTCTATATTTACATGGTTCATCACCTTTTTCAGAATCAAATTTCAAAGACTTTCCAAGACTTTTCCAGGACTCAGATTAAATTTTCCCGGGCCTTTTATTCCCAAGATTTCAAAATCAATTTTCATTACACCACATGCACTTCTCACTGAATAAAACAAATTGTGAAACTTTTTTGCTTCAGTTGAGCATATATAGATGACTTTCCAAGACCTGTAGTCTTTTTTTAAGACAATCCAGTCCCAGGAAATGTCAAAATAATATTCCAGGACCTGTACCACCCCTGCATTTACTATAAAGGTAGGCAGCTTCATGTCACTGGCCACTGTGTAGAGGACAGTGTTTTCAAAAATGTATCAACAAAAGGTGAACTTGTCAATGAAGACAAACACTATCCCAAATTAAATGTCTTTGATGAGGCAAGGACCTAATGTTTAACATAGGCAAAATGTAGTACCACATGTAAGTACCTGCATAGAAGTGGCAAGGCAAGCACACAGTCTTCACATTCTTCCTTTGATCCTGTGAGAAGTATATGTTCAATCTCACCCTTTCCACAAGGGGTTTGTGCTTGGTTAGAGAGGATCTTTAATAAATGATTTCCTGTTTCCTGACAATGGCTTTGGGTTGCTGAAGACATAGACTGGTATTTTGCATTAGGGCTGATCTTGTCTTTTGGTTTGAATACACTGTCTTCAGAACTTTGGCTGTTGAAGGGTGTTGGCAATCTCTGTTCCTCAAATGAATAAGCATTTAAATCAGGATCACAGGGCTTCAGTGGGCCAGTACTTTCTTGATATTCACAATTCCTGAAGCACAACTGGTGATGAATGGCAACCACAGCTCCATGCACTATTAAATCTCTGAAACATAGTGGATTTGCAGCCAGAAGATTAAGGATACGTGCACACTTGGGGTTAGGATTGTTCACCAAACAGAGGTAATCCAACAAAACTCCAATGCAATCCTTGTTCACAAGATGAATGCTTGGATTGGTCATATGTGCTATACGCAGTAGCAAGGTAAGAGCACTTTGGCCAAGACTCCGATTGTGATGCAACCCAGACTGAACCTTTGGTGACAAAGGAGAGACAGGACTTTTTTTCACAGGTTCACCTTGAACACTACCACTAGCAGGATGTAGGCCAACTGGGGAACCTAGCATCACCTGGGTTTGATTTTCAATGCACATTGAAGTAGGATCATCACAAGTTAGAGCTGCAGTTGGTTCATGTAAATCACATTCTCTCTGTGTTTTTGAAAAATCTTGATGTGACGGCAACACTCTTGGGCAACTTGCACTTCGCAATGTTGCGAAGTCACTCCAGGAAGATGCAAGGGATGAAACACTGCGAGAAGAGGTGCATACCGACACTAATGTTGTTGTATCAGTCTGTCTGGAAGCAAAACTGAACACTGACTGTCCTATGGTACACACACCTGGAGGTGGGGTGGTTGGAATGGGTGAAGGCTTTAGTTTTAGTCTCCTTTTGAACTTTGAAAGTTGGCCTGTCACTTTTGTGTCCGTGACCTCCCTTGCTGTTTCTTCAAGCTTCTTGAGGAAAGTTTCATCCTTCAGCGCCTCTGCACTAACATCGGAAAATACACTTTTGACTGATGTTGTCCTCATTGAGTAATCAGTGTAGAAGTCTGCTGAAAATGATTGATGATCTGTTAAACCATCATCATGGTCATCATCATGGTCATTTTTGGATTGTACTTGATGTATAATCCTGTTAAGATGATTCATTAGACCTGGAACTAGATCTCCATTAAGGAGAATTTCCAAGTCTACTTCACTGTGACAGAACTGAGCAAATGCAGCAACAATCTTTTTCTCAAGACTCAGCCACTTTCCTGACAGTAAAATCTTCAATAACAGTTCCAATGCTGAAGAATCACGCACCCTTAGGCGGTTGATCCCTTCTCTGCAACAATAGCAAAGTCCTTCAATGGCCTTGACAGTAACATGCCCCAGCTCATCTTTTTTGAGCTGTTCAGTCAAAGCCTCTATCCCACCTTCACTGCCAATACAAACACGCACATGAGCATGATGGGCTAAGTTTGCTAGGGACAGAGTAGCTGAGTTCCTCACTTGCAAAAGGTCACTGCTGGTAAGCTTAACAATGTATTTGACACTACCGCAATCTTGAACTTGCTGTGCAAATTCCTTACTACATTCCTTGGTAAGTTCTGCTACAGTTTTTATGCAGCAATTCACTAGTGAAGGCTTATCAGATTGTAGCAGTTCCATGATGGTTTTAATGGCATCTAAATCCACTATGGCCTTTTTTCTTTCTGAATTTGTGCACACCATCCTCAGAGCTCTTAAGACAGACTGTTGGCAATCACTATCAGATGTCTTTGTAAAACATTTAACAAGTTCATGAATAACTCCGAGCTCCTCCATGACCTGTACACTAAGCTCGTCAGCTGCCAAGTTGGCTACTGCTCTTGATGTTCTGTTTAATATGCTGGTTTTCCCATTGTTCTTTAAAACTTCAGCTGAGGGAAAATAAAAGAAAAAAACCATATCTTACTTCTATTAGTCAAATCCTTGCTGGCTTGAACCTCATGCTTCTCTAACAAATAAAAGTTCAAAAAATTCCAAATAACTTAAGCCCTGTTCAAAAAGTCCCTGTAGCTGATGATAGTTTCAACTATCACGCGTGTTTGAACATGAACATACGACAGCTATATCATGCACTATTATCCACTATCATCAACTATCATGTAGTTTAGACATGTTTATATTCAACATGATAGTTGATGACAGGTTTTGCAGTTTGAACAAGCAGATGAAAGTAAATGATAGTTTTCTTGTTCAGCAGTTTGCCAAAAACAAGCTCAAAACAAAATGGCAAAATAACTAAAGTAGCTGTCAAAATTTTGCAGATTGTCTCGTAGTTCATTCTCATTATCTGTTGGTAGGCTTAAGTATCTTCAACTCACAACTTCTTGACCAAAACTTCAAATGCCACAAAAATTGCTGAACTCAGTGCGTACCATGTTTGTGTACAATTATGCAAACTCATTGCCTGATTTTGTTTAGCTTTACTCTCTGCAACTGTTCACTGAACCCAGAACAGATAAAGTTCACAGATAAATATTGGCACACACTTTCCCGCCAAAATAAAGGCTAACATTAAGTTCTAGTTTTTTTTATGTAAACACGCTGAGTTCTTTGCACAAGGCCCGTCTCCAGCCCAGCAGAAAGGAAAAAGATCTTTACGCACATCGTTTAACAATCCTTGCGGTCTTTTGTGAGTAATATTTTGGCAAATTTTCTGCAAAGTCCCATACTTTATTAATACAGTTCGATTCAGAGATAAAGAAAATGACCACTGGTTGGCTCAATTGGTTAGAGCGCTGGATTGTGTAGTGCGGGAGGTCGAGGGTTCAAGCCCAGGCTGGACCAATACTCATGGTCTTAAAATAATTGAGGAGAATCTGCTACCTTTCTAATATCAAGAAATATTATCAAGAAATAGATAGAGATTCTAGTCTTCTCGGATAAGGACGAATAAACCATAGGTCCTGTCTCCTGCAGGGCTAGGGGTAGGAGATGTTAATTTCCCACGCACGAGATTACTGTCTGGTGGATGTCCTCCCCTGGGGTGGGATGGGTGGGGAAGATAGCAGGTCCACATCAGCAAAGTTGCTGCCATACCTCAACCTGCTCAAACAAATAAAGATGATGATGATGATGGCAACACAAGAGATTAACTTTTGAACAACGGCTTTGTTTAAGAATATTGTGGAGTTACACAGAATATTGTGGAGTTATTCATCCCAAGAAACTCTGTATCAACTAATGGGTTTTTTAAGAGACCAGTCAGGTCGCTAAATAAGAACCGGGTTTTCCACGTACTCACCAAGCACTGTTATTCCATCCAATCTCCTTATCTACAAAACAGACGAGAGGCGATAAAGTTAACAACAGGAGAATTTTTCAACACTATTTCAATTCTTCAGAAACCTACTTCTCTTCTGCTTTCTTCCTGACGGGCACAGTTCGCCAATACACTTAACGCCATGTCAGCAATTGTTTCATTCGGCAGTTGGATGAGCGCTATTAGTCGCCTTAATCCACCTTTCTCGCAGAAAATGTCAACATTATTTTTGCGTCTGGTCATGCTTGTCAAAGCAATTAATGTCTTTTTAGTTTTGGATTCCGATTTTAGGCTTAATTTTTTGATCAGGCTCTCGATGTATTTCGCCACAGCAGTGGCGGCCATCTTGATGTGACGTTCAGGGAAGGGTCCAGGGAAGGGAAGTTACTTAGCATCCGTGTTGCAAAGTGGGGGTGGGGGAGGGAGAGTGATGTCTCGTCACGCACTAGCCTGAGTGTCAGGCCTTCCTAAGGGGCTAGGGGAGGGGGAGAAGAGAAAGGAAGGCCTGACACAAATCCATTCAGAGAACCGTGTGTCATATCCAAAATCTGGATGTGGCAGTGATTGGAAAATACACAATACCCTCTGACCAGAAACGCTCCCAGAAACGCCTGATACTCACGATACTCAGGCTAGTCACGGACTAGCAGAACGTGCAGGACACTGCGTTGCAACTCAGCTCAGTACATGCTAAGGTTAGTGATTGTTTTTTTGAAATACATTTTGCTCTAAGAACAGTCGTTGATTAGGGTGCTGAGGCTTCAAAGAGCTGACATGAGAAATATTTTAAGGAAATACTTGAGATTGTAGCTTCGAAGGGATGAAACCTTGGGAACATCCTCAGGAAGTAATGAATTTGAGCGCTTTTGAGTGCGCTTCTCTCCACCCCGTATCATTCGACTATTCCTCTTACTACGTGTGGGTCCTGATCCCATTTCATGCCCGAATTTTTTTCTTTCAGAAATCGTCGACAGTAGTTTGAAAGCCCACACGCATCAATAGATTCTATATTGAAAATAATGTGTGAAACTTAACTAATTTCACGTCGAAAATAATTGAAAATTATATATTGAAAATAATGTGTGAAACTTAACTAATTTCACGCTGAAAAGGTATTTTAATGACAAATATACAATAGATATAGCTCATTACGCTCCTAAATGCTCCAAATTTAAAATGTTAAGACGCATAAGTTCCTTAACAAAAGCCACACTAGAAACAATTTATAATAAAACAATAATCCCAAGTGTATTATATGGTATGGCTCTGTGGGGCCCTTGCTCAGAATATTTAATGAAAGATCTAGAACTATTTCCACCTCAGAGCTGACCAATTGACTTACCCACAAACTACCTAGAGACATGGAAGACAAAAAAGTACTCATAAATACAAATTGGATGCCACTGAATTATTTTTATTGTTCTCGTATTTTAAACATAATGCATAGAGCCTTTTATAATATAGATTTAGATAATACAAATAGTCTAGTTGTGAAAAACACGTCTTACAGTCTTAGGAAATTGTTGAATGTTGTTGAATCCAGACTAAGAACCAAACAGGGTCGTTGTTCATTTAAACACAGAGCCACAATTGCCTGGAACTCTTTACCTGACACCATTAAACAGCTTGAAAACTCTGTCTCTTTTAAAAGAAAGATAAAATCTAGCAAGACCTGTGTCAGGAACATCAGCTTCCGAAAGGAATGCTCTGTAAATGGTGATAAGAACCCTGAATTTAGATATTTTAAAATTATTTGATCCCTCTTTTAACTATTATTGTATACTATTTTTAGCTTCATGGCAACTGTTGTAAATTTCTGTTTTTCCTTATTTAGACTTAGTAACTTCAGCCCTACAGTTGCATATTTTTAAAACCTACCTATCAAATAAATTTATGTATGTAGGTATATATGTTTGTATGCTATAAAAAGGTAATTGACTGAATATGAATTAGAAACCTTGATAAGTGTATCTATGAGTAACCAGTTAAGTTAAAATGCTGCTCAAAGTTTTATGTTTGATTATAAGCTGAGAGAAATTGCTTGTGCCAGTGAAATTGGTAATCAAGCAGCAGCAAGAGAATTTGAAATTGATGAATCAATCCCTTTTTGTACAAATTTTCTTTGCTTTTAAGGTGTGGGTTATCCACCAGTGCAGGTAATCTGGGTAGGGAAATGAATGGGTTTAATGTCTCATGCATGCAGAGGTGTCAGGGTTTGCAGCCCTTAGTGGTACACCCCCAACAACAAAGATCATGTAATTTAACATTACCAATCCTGAGATCTCTTTATAGTATAATTCTTCTTCTGTCTGCCATGCAATCTGTATGATATGAGTTAAGAGAATTTGTTATTGGATCAACTACTAATTAATCTCGTAACTGATTTTTCTTTATTCTC